TTTTGAGCCAAAGACCCCATGCATGTGCACCAAGTTTGGAGCTTTACGTGTAAAATGGACATTAGAAGGCCAGATCTATGGTTTTGAGGTGTTAAGACTCATTTAAATCGACTGTATAGTAATGGTCAAGGTTGGACTCGACGAGTCGTTCTTGGGACTCGGCGAGTCGGGGCGTTTTGACCACCAAATCCCTTCTGTGGATGGACCCGTTGTTAGGATGGGAAGTCCCTTAGTTGTTTAGATGCGTAAAGGGACCTGAGAATCATAGGACTCGGCGAGTGTATGAACAGACTCGGCGAGTCCAAGGCAATCTCCCAACCTTTGAAGATGAACTCGACGAGTTGTTCATACAACTCGGCGAGTCATAGACTGGACACATTCTTATGAGGGAGATGAACTCGACGAGTTCATGAACGAACTCGGCGATTCGGATGAAGATGGTCCCGATGGGTTGAATGAAGGAGAACCCGGCGAGTTCTTTCTAGACTCGACGAGTAGAGTCGGGGTTGGATCGGGTTAGTGGAGTATGGACTCGACGAGTTGGTCGACCAACTCGGCAAGTCAGGTCAACTGCGTGTTGACTTTGACCAATGTTGACTTTGATTGAATTGAGTTGACCCTGGGTTGGGTTGCATGTTCATATTGATAACTTAGAAGGATTGCCGTGTAGGGATTGGGGAATCGAAGAGAGTCGACCTTCACACCGAGGACATTTCAGACACTACACGACATCGAGGTAAGTTACCTCCCAGTAGAGGTGGGTCTAAGGCCACAATGCCGACCCACCAACAGGGGTATTTAGTAGATAATTGTCTTTGTGATAATTATCTTGGTATGTTTATGTGATACGGTCATGAGATATGCCTGCATGATATGTTATGTGTGTTAGTGGTAGTGGCAGGGAATAGTTTTTCCCTGACATCGGTCGTTAGGATCGAAGGGTAGGTTAGTACCCAGACATGCCTGACTGTATGATTATATCTTGTTATTGTATGATAGTGATAGGGGGTGAAATAGTCCCCGATTACCGGTTGAAAGATACCGATGGCAGATACCGGTTGAAAGATACCGATGGTGGTTACCGGTTGAAAGATACCGATGGCAGATACCGGTTGAAAGATACCGATGGCAGTTACCGGTTAAAAGATACCGATGATCTTATATGGTATGTGGTATGATGGGGGAACTCACTAAGCTTTGTGCTTACAGTTTCAGTTTTGGTCTCAGGTACCTCTTCGTCCAAGGGGAAGGAGCCGACGGTGTAGCAGCGCATCACACACACATGATTTCCGCATGGAGTTTCTGGGATTGTACTCTGATTTTCATTACTTTTGACATTGTGATTTTGAGACATGACGTTACGGTTTTTATAATTTGATGTAACCTCGACATTGTTTTGGTACACTATTTTATGAAGTACTTAATTAAAAATGAAAATTTTGGCCCTGAAAATTGGGAAGTTACAATTGCATTAATAAGTATAAGTTTTAGATAAGTGTTTAAACATTACATATTCAAACATCAAAATAGATACAGTAGAAGACAAGAGTCGCAGTACAGTACTAGGCAGTCTTCTCAAAAGCTTCGGGAGTGTACCTGTCTACTGGATTCCTGAGCATACAAGTTATTTTGAAAGAGTAGATCAGCATTTAAGCTGGTGAGTTCATAAGTATTTTAGTTATATGAAGTATACTCTAAGATCTTGGAAAAGTTAACTGGTTCCTCCAGAAAATCCTATATTTTCTGACGTGACAATGTGATAACCATAATAGTTCCCTCTACAATTACTTAGTTTATACTAGTCATATATAACCTAATATCGAACTGACAGTTAAATGTGTGAATCTGCCCTAAGCCCACAACCAAACAAGGAACAAGAAGTAAGGTGGAAGTTACACATTTCACTGTCAGTCTGATATTAATTATGTATAACTCTGGTGTATAAACTAAGGAATTATAAAATTAACCATTTAAGGTCCTTTATGTTATACTAGTTTTAAGTGAACGAATGATGACGTTCCAGAAAATTCCATATTTTCTGTTTTACAACTGATAAGTAGTTTTAATTCCATAAAACTGTTCCATATAAGTAATATTATACTTATAATAAGGTTTAACATAATTTTAACTATCCATAAAATTATGAGAAGAATGGTTTCCGTTTTAATGGTAAAATGTGGTTTTAAATCCCCATAAAACCGTTCTGATAAGTAGTTTTAAATCCCCATAAAACCGTTCCGATAAGTAGTTTTAAATCCCAATAAAACCGTTCTGATAAGTAATTTTAAATCCCCATAAAACCGTTTTGATAAGTAGTTTTAATCCCCATAAAACCGTTCCGTTTTGATTATGGAAAGTGAATACTACAGTGGTATTTCTTAAAAAAAGAACAAACTACTTGTGAATAATTACCCTAATATTAACCTGGTTAATTAGGGTTTAAAATGTGATAAAGTTGTAACCATGATGGACTAGAATGAACACGACGACCTACTGGTGTTGAAACTGAATATGTGACATTTGTCACCCCATGGCTGGTCTGCCGGACTGTAACTAGCAGTCGGGATGTGGGATTGTCAGTCCCGTATAGATCTATACACACAATGCCCGCTCTCCCTCCAGGAGACTCTGGTTACAAGAATATAACATAGCAAGTATTGTTATGTCCTGAATACGTACCATCACATTTTACTTTGAATAAAGATCGAATTATATCCTTTTCTTGATAAAGTAGTTTAGACCTCGTATACTTATCTAGGAAAAATAGATTTCTCGTTTTTTTCATAAATTATACCTATTATAATTTATACGTTCTATCTGATTAGCATGATCTATCCTGAAAGTATCCCTTTGCTCAGCATGATACAAAGGTAATGATACCGACTGAAGTAACCTTTTATATTCCCATATGTATAATGTATATAATTAAGAAGGAAATGACCTTCGGACAAAATATCCTCACCTTAAACCACATCCAAACAAGGAAAAGGAGATAAGGCAACTCATTAGTCCTAAGCCCTTTAAGTCTTATTTATATACTTATACATATATGAACATGATTTTGACAATTATAATATGAAATAGTTTATAAAACCTTTTTCAAAGAGTTTAACAGTATTAAAAGAGTTTTAACAGTGTTTCAAAAAGAGTTTACATGACTTTAAAGATTTAACATGACTTTAAGTCATTTTAGAAGTATTTGGTAATCCTTAAAAGCATAAGAAAATCCTTTGTGTAATTGATATCACATACAATTATAAACACAATTTAACAATTGTGTTCAACTTGTATTCCCCCCCCCCCCTAAAAGCTTTAAAAATCATTTGAAAAGGTAGATTAAAGGGGTATGAACTCACCTTATGTGGGTGATTCAATTGAAGATTCGCGTAAGGATGAGAAGTTCCACGAATGAATTCCCGAGATACAAACGAGTCCTAAATGACATATAATGGCATATATAGGCATGTAATTAGTGTTTAACACAACTAACATGCAAGGAAACTACCTTATGGACTAGGAAACACTTGTAAGGAAGTGTTACAATCACATATGATTGCATTAAAGGGGTTCACGGCCACACAAGGGTGTTCACAGCCAAGGAGTGTACAGCCGTACACTCATAGAAGAAACATGCAAAAGAGGTGTTTACGGCCCTATCTAGCATCCATTAAGTGTTCACTATCCTATGTTGGGACATAAGATGGGTTTGCGGCCAAGTCATGCACCAAACAAGGGTTTACGGCCATAAGAGGAGTTTACGGCCGTAAACTCTTTGAGTTCTTGCATTAGATGATGATTCAAGGCTAGGAATCAAGTGTTTCTCAAGCTTAACTAGAAGATAGAAGACATACTCACACTTTTGAGGGTTCCTATGGAGTTCACGGCCCAAGAACAAGTGTGTGTTCTTGGTGTTCTTGAAGATCTAACCAAAAGAGATGATTTCATGGATGAAATCATAGAGTTTTACTAGATTAAGAAGGTTATCAACTAACAAATGGAAGAATCACTTACACTTTGGAAGATTAGGATGAAAAATCTTGATGATACTTGAGAGAGAATTGACTTTCTTGACTTGGATGTGTGAGAAGTGAAATAAAATGAAGGAATATCATATATGTGGGCATGAGTTCACGACCGTACACTCATGTTTACGACCAGGAGGGTGTTTACGGCCGTGAATGGAGTTTACGACCGTAAACCCCATGTGGTTGGCTTTCTGGTTCGGGTGCAGCCTTCTGATCTCGAGCTATTACTTCCTAACACTCAATCCTTAAGTGTACTAAGCTTAGAACTCATTAGAATGACCCTTAACAAGGCTAGAAGGCAAATAGAATTAAGACTGACTTTTGGTTGATTGGTTGGACTTACAAGATAAAATTTTTCGGGTTGTTACATTAACCCTGCACCCGCCCTCACCTCCGGTTTTTTTATACAATTACCCCCCATACGGGATCGAGGTCCCGTGGGAACGGGGTCCATGAGAGTTTTTGATATCCCTAAACTGATTAGATAAAAGATCTTCAAAATATATTTCATAGAATATTATAATTACATAAAAAAATAATTTGCATTCACTCATCGTTTTCCATGTAATATATTTATTAAAATTTTATATTAATTTATTAACATTTCATATATTGTAAACACCCACAAAGTTTAAAATCTAAAAGTTTATATAAAAACATTAAGTTTGACTAAATATAAGTTTTTTCAAAATGTAACTAAGAAATATTAAAATATAAATTTAAAAACTATGTATTAGTTAATAACATAAATTTCAAAATAATTGACACCACAACCGGATTTGACCTACGCAAGGTGGAAAGGTAGGGATTGTTTTTACCACATTTGACCTATAAAAACAAAGGAACATCATAATCCTTGTTTAACGGTTAACCAGACATTCACTCCTAACTATTTAAAATTCTTTCCATTAACGATTCTCCATTTACAACGTCTAGCTAGATACAGAGAGAAAAGAAGAAAAATAATGAAAAGATATGAAGTTTGAGAATCATGTTCTTGTTGTAATCTCCATCGGTTTTCTGATTTCGAGTATCTCGGTTAATTGTTTAGATTTGTCGCAATTCTGGTCAATAGCAGATGAAGTAAAAGAGGCATTTGGCCCAGTTTTAAATGAAGCGGAAGAGGCAATTGGTCCAGTTTCTTCTGTTAATTTAGATAAAGCTGAAGAGGCATTGGGTCCAGTTCCATCCTTAGATGAAGCCAGACAGGGACTTGGTCCAATTTCATCGTTGGACTTGGACAAAGCTAAGGAGGCGCTTTCCCCGGTTATAGACGAAGCCAAAGAGAAACTTGGGCCTATCTCACCTTCGACTGTAGAAAAAGCAAAATATGTTACAACCAAAGCGTTAGATAAGGTTGAAAAAGGTTTTGATTCCATTGCGTCCTGGATCTCACAAAACAAAGTTGATGTATCTTCTTATTTGGAGATAGCACAAAAGGAATTTGGGCCAATTTCTTCCTTAGATATTGATAAAGCTAAAGAGGTATTGGCTCCCATTTCACCTTCTTTAGATGAAGCGTTACCACCTATTTCACCTTCAACTGTAGATGAAGCAAAAGATGCTTTAGGGCCAATTATTTCACCTTCTGTTGTAGATGAAGCAAAAGATGCATTAGGTTCTGAAGCCATCGACGAGGCTAAAAAAAAATTAGGCTCAATTGCATCATTGTTTTCACAAAAGCAAAACACAGAGGAAATATCTGAAGCCGAGAAAGAATGGAGTCCAGTTGCTTCTACTTCTACTGAATTAGATAAAGATGAAGCGAAAGAGGCTGTAGGTTCATTTTCTCATAAAGCGTTGGACGAGGCTAAAGGAAAATTTGGCTCACTTTCGTCCTTGATTTCCGAAAACAAAGAGGAAATCTCTTCTGATTCATCATCCTCTATTTTTGCCGAAGCCGAGAAAGATCTCAGTCCAATTTTTTTCTCTGATGAAGATGTATCGAGTCCAGTTTCACCCTTACACCCTATTTCACCTTCAACTTACGACGAAGCAAAATATGAGGCCATAGGTTCGATTTCTTCCCAAGAGGCTAAAGAAAAATCTGGCTCCCTCATCTCCCAAAACAAAGAGGAAATATCTGATGCTCCATCCCCTGCTTCACCTTCAACTTTAGATGAAGCAGAAGTGGCGATAGGTTCAATTTCTTCTGAAGCCTTAGATGAGGCTAAAGAAGCATTTGGCTCAATTACGTCCTTCTTTTCCAAAAACAAAGTGCAAATATCTTCTCAGCTGGGTCCAATTTACTCTCCTGTTTCACCTTCAACTTTAGATGAATCAAGAGACACAATAGATTCATTTTCTAATAAAGCGTTAGATGAAGCTAAAGACAAATTTGGCTCAATTTCATCATTCTTTCCCCAAAACAAAGAGGAAATATCTTCTTTTTCTTCTTCTTCGATATATATTGATCATGACGTTGCTTTGGCCATCGAATCCCTCATTAAGCAAGGCCTGTCAAATTCAAAATTAGCTATTGAGGAGGCTAGGAAGCTATTGAGTGTTACCGAAACTATTGCTTCACCAGACAGAGCAACATGCGTCAAAAGTTGTATGGACAATTACGCATCCTGTTTCGAAAGCTTTAACAAGGCTATGGAAGAACTTAGAGCTCGCAATGCTGAGCAGATGACAGATGATGTCACTTCAGTGGAGGGAGACATATCTGCTTGTCAAAAGTGCTTTTTAGAGAACAATGAAGTAAAACAATCTTCGTTGAAGGATTTAGAGGAGGCCATCCTCAAGTCTACTCGTGAGTGCTTAAACGTTCTTCATCATTCTGGTTGAATTAAATTTTTACCCCTTTCCCTTGTTAAGTACCCCCTTAATATTTCCATATGGAAATCATTGTATGGTTGTATAACATTCATAATCATAGACAGAGATAGATCATCAAAAATTTTGATTCACATATATTTCTTTTGGGATCCAAGCTGTAACTGGATTTTTTTTTAAATTAGACTAATGGATCAATAAAAGAAATATCGTCAACCATGATGAAGATAGATTTCCTTTGTGTATTTATTGCAACTTAATTTAATAAGATTGAGAAAGGAAAGCAATTATACATTCTTATATGGTATCTTACTTAGCCGATACTAGGCCTCCCTTCGTCCTCTAAGCCGCTTTCTACTAAGGGACTTACATAGCGGACCTTACCCTCGTCAATCAAGTTGCTTCTTCCCTAATCAACCATGCAACCAACCACCTCCCTCAACCCTTTAAACTCTAGCCTTCCTTTTCCTTATCAAGTGGCGGATCTAGAAAAAATAATTAGGGTATGCAATGACACATCAAAAAATATTTTCTAGTGTTCCAACATAATTGATAATATTAAAAAAAATGATTATTTACATTTCATATATTAAAGTTGACAACTCAATCTTGTTATATGTCACAAATTACAAACTGTTAAAAAAAATTAAGGTATGCAATGACACATCAAAAAATAATATTAAAAAAAATGATTATTTACATTTCATATATTAAAGTTGACAACTCAATCTTGCTGTATGTCACAAATTACAAACTGTTCAAAAAAAAATTCAAAATTTGATTGCAAAATTTTCAAATAATGAAGACAATATATAATGTTCATTTTTTGTTTAATTAAAAAATTTAGTTAACAAAATATATATTTATTTGCTAGTATTGTATGTTTGCAAACATTATCCATATTACAAGTTATAAATGCGTAAGTAAAAGACATAAAACTGGTCTTTGATTAAAAAAAATGACATTTAAGGTACACATAGTTATGTAATGCTACAATAAGGCTCTAGGCACAAGAATCAATTCTGTAAACCTATTTCCTATGCAAAGCAACAGTTTGCAGACAACAATTTCTACTTTAAAACACTTCGTTTAGCATTATTTTTATCAAGTTTTTATGAAGATCTAACAAAGTGATATGTGTGTGAGAGAGAGACATACCATATACGAAATGCACTTTTGCGGTTATGCCAGAGAAAAGTGATATGTGTATGAGAGAGAGACATACCTATTTCCTATGCAAAGCAACAGTTTGCAGACAACAATTTCTACTTTAAAACACTTCGTTTAGCATTATTTTTATCAAGTTTTTATGAAGATCTAACAAAGTGATGTGTGTGAGAGAGAGACATACCATATACGAAATGCACTTTTGCGGTTATGCCAGAGAGAAGTGAAGGGTCCGCTGGAGATGAACGGGTGAGTATATATACAGATCCGACAGAGAGGTTGATCAATAGAGTGTCCATGAGTGAGATAAGTTGTTTAAATAGGGTGCAAACCCTACAAATTAGGGTTTAACCCTTGTTGTCCGTACACCCCACGTAACCATGCGTACGCCCAGCGTACGCTGAAGCCTCCGTGATCCGGATGTCGAGCCAGTACGCCCGGCGTACTCCTAGCGTACACCCATCGTACTCGGCTAGGGTCAAGAACCGCCAATCTTCCGAATGTCATAACTTCTTCGTTCTAAGTCCAATTTCGGCACTCTTTATATCCACGGAAAGGTAGAAAGAAGCTCTACAATCCTATCAACTTTCTTTTTCCTTACAACTTTCAGAACTTAAATCCAGAATTCATAAAAGGTCTGGACCATCAATTTACTAATACGCCCTTGGGTTCCAAAACGCAAACCGAACACTCGGTACCCACAACCTACATTATACATCACCAAATGGGTCTAATCCTATCTTTCCCAAGGCCTGGAGCCTTATGATACTTGATCCTCGGATCACGGCCCCACATTATGAAACGACCTGAAACAAGGTGTTACAATACTAATTATTTATCTCATTCCCTTAAGTACTCCAAACAAGCAGCTCCAAATTCTCGCCCTCTTGTTGCCTCATCAAGTCCCACAAAATATGCCTTTGCCTTTGGATTTGGCGAGACATTCGACCTTGCAGTTCCTTCCTTCTTTGGACAGTCTTGCTTGAAGTGTCCTTCTTCACCACACTTGAAGCATACTTCCTTCTTGGTCGTGCATTCATTAGTATAGTGACCAATTTTCCCACACTTGTAACAGGTCACTCCTTCAGTGCATTCTCCAAAGTGTTTCTTTCTGCACTTGTTGCACCACTTCGTCATGTTACCCCAAGGCTTCTGATCTTTAGACTTCGAGGACTTACTCTTCTTATCGGGTATTGAAGATCCCTCAAGCTTCCTTTTCTCTCCTTTCTCAGCCTTCTCCAGACTCTTTTTCTCTTATCTGGGTCTCAATATTCTTGGCTACTCTGACGGATGTCTTCAAAGTAGTTGCCATTTTAACCGTTGGACCAAAGTCTGCAGGCAATCCATTTGCAAACTTTTCTATCTTGGAGAGTTAAGTAGGCACCAAGTAGGGGAATAGCTTCATCTTCTCGGTGAATGTGGTGGCATACTCATCGATGCTCATATTTCCCTTCTTCAGGTTCTGAAACTCATTGTTCATGTCTATCCGATCCACTTCCGAGCAGTATTGCATCATCAACTGCTCCAAGAATTCTTCCCAAGACATCTTTAGGGCTTCTCCCCGCGGCATAGTATCTGCCAATAACTTCTACCAAATTAAAACTCCAGTCTTTAGTTGTCTGACTGCAAGAACGGTTTTATGCTTGGTGCTGCAGTTGCAGCTCTGAAATACCATCTCCATCTCAGAGATCCAGTCCATAATCTCTACTGGCTTTGGGCTTCCAGAAAGACTTGGTGGCTTGGCACCCATGAAGTCCTTATACTTTCACCCACTTCCATCATCTCCTTCATTTGGTTGGTTCCTTCCAATCATTCTTGGCTCAGCTTGGCTAACATTTCGGTTGTAGTTTCCCTCCTCAGACTGTTCCTTGTTCAACTCACGTTGCACAACGGGTGCAATAGGTTCTCTTCCATTTTCCCAGAGTAGTCGCGTTGTCTCCTCCATTTGACGATCTAGCATCATCTGCATCATTGCATGAACTCCTGCCATTGTGATTGGTTCGGGTGTAGGTGCGATGACCGGTGCACGACCCATCACTCGCTCAGGTTGTTGATAAATTATTTGTGTTATATATATATATATATATATATATATATATATATATATACAATTATTAATAGGTTGCATATCCTCGTTAAAGTGCTTGCATACCCTGAAACAAATAGGTGGAGATGAGTCTTGGTACAAAATTAAGATACTTTAGAGTCTTCCATATTTTGAAAAAATTAATACTAAAAAAATCACATAAGTAGCTTTTTAAATGGGATAAACTGGAAAACATCTAACAAACCTTCTAAAATATTTGAAAAAAGGATCAAACTTAATCATCAAAAACTTCGACCCTTAAAAACTCAATTTGGAAAAATATAATGTGAACGTGCTTGTGGAGCTCCCGCGTTCTTTGGATAAAAGGACCCAATTGCCAGTAGGAGATGGTTAACGGATATGGTGAATGCTTTTCGGATGAGTTTCTGCCCCGATGGGTCGAAAGTAAGAATTTCTTCCTGTCTTCTGAAAGACATAGCTCGAGATTGGTGGGAAGAGGTAGATTTTGCCTTGGGAGGCGAAGCCCTGGAGACGATGACTTGGGATGAGTTTGTGACCCGGTTTAGGGCCGAGTTTGCACCAACTATTGAGGTGCAGCAGTTGGCAAGGGAGTTTCAGGACCTTCGCCAGCCGACTGAGACTGTGTCGAGATCATTGCCAAGTTCCGGGAGAGAGCCTTGTTGGTTCTGTAGTATACAGCGAACGAGGAAATGAAGAAGTTAAGGTATCATGACATATTGAGGGATGACATCAGGAGTTTGTTAGTTTGTAAGGGTGAGAGACCCTGAATGATATGATTGCTAGAGCCCGAGAGCGGGAGATCGACTTGGAGCACCTTGGGAAGAGAAAGTCAGAGCAGACTCATATCGTAGTGGGCCAGTCGAAGAGGCCCAAGACTCAGGATTCATATTTGGGAGGCCATCAGGGCCGAGGACGTTGTGCCAAGTGTGGGAGGACCCATGAGGGAGGATGTCGGGAGACAGGTCGATGATGTTTTAGTTATGGTCAGATGGGTTATTTTAGTAGGGATTGCCTACGTGGGTCGGTTCCAATGTGTCTTCACTGCAACCAGGTGGGCTACAAGAAGGTCGATTGTACAATGTTGAGGGGTGGAGCAGTGAATGCACCTGCTCGAGTTACTTTAAGGATCACTGACGGTCGTAAGGGTAGGGTAGGAGCCCCAACAGTGAGGAGCCGAGCTTTGCAGTGTCAGTCAGGGGAGGCCAGAGTTTCATCAAATGTTGTCGCGGGTACGTTATCTTTTGTATTTCTTCAATGCCTTATTATCATTATTTATATTTGGTTCGTAATCTTGTGTCGGTATGTGTAAGCATCATCTTTGGTTTAGTTCTTTGTTATTTCCTGGGTTATATCATCGAGAATTGTTATATGCCATTTTTGCATGCCGAGAGTTATTAGTGGGTCGCATCTTGCTGAGCGGGATTCAGTTTGTTCGGTTGTTGTTTCGGTTCTTTGATGGGTCATTTCATGGGTATCTCTTGGAAGATCTATAGATGAATTAGCAGGATTAGTTCCACAATGAAGTCAGAGTTCATACGTGTTAACATTTGTTCAAGTAGAAATGGAATTCGTTCATGGAAGGGTCTTTGGGTCCAATCACTACCTGTTAGGAATCGGACCGGGTACACGCAGCGGAAACACACTGTCACACACTCACAAACTCACAAAATAAAGCAAGAAGAACACAAGGATTTTACGTGGTTCAGATTCGGTGTAAATCCTACGTCCACGGGCGCAACTAGATTTTATATTAACTCACTACAAGATTACAAATGGT